TAAATTAATGTGAAGCGAACTGAATAACCGACTAAATTCATATTTTACATAAAATCACTTTTTTTCCCAAAAGTGGGGCCTTTTAATAACGTGTAAATTAATGGCACCTCTCCAACTGAATAACCTGTCCTTTATGGCTTTGGGGATCTCCAAGCAACGGCTTTGATTGGCTTTAACATGGCGAAGCCCAGGCTTATCTTGGTCCCCCTTTCATCTCAATTGTGGACACTGACCTCCCCGTGGTGCCACATGGGGAGCAATTTTCATCACCAGATGAAATAGTGAGCTAATATGTGCCGCAGAGAATCTGCAGAGAATTTGGAAGGAGCATTTTGAAAAACTTCATTGCATGCCCAATGATTGTAACCTCAGCATCCTGTATCCCATGCACAAAAAAGGAGACAAGACGATATGTGCCAACTATAGAGGAATAAGTCTCCTTCCCAACGCATGGTCAATGACATTATTGAACCATACCCATGCGGCTTCAGACCAGGCAAATCCACCATTGACCAGATTTTCACTCTGCGCCAAATCCTGGAAAAAATCCACGAAAAACACATCGACACATTCTACCTATTCGTCGACCATAAAGCCGCATTTGACAGCCCTATCCGTTCAGAGGTGTAAAAAGCCATGTCTGCGTTTGACATTCCTGCAAAATTCATTCGGCTATGCAGGATAACTTTAACTGCCACAAGATCAGCAGTTAAAGTCAGAAAGGACCTCTCGGAGCCCTTTAATACCGAACGAGGATTCAGACGAGGTGACAGTTTGTCGTGTGACCTTTTTAACATCCGGCTGGAAAAGGTCATACGAGAGGCAAAGGTGAACAAAAATGGCACTCTGTACACCAAACAACACATGTTACTCGCCTACGCCGATGACATCGACATAATGGATCGAACACTGAGAGCGGTTACAGCCACCTTTGAACAAATTGAGAAGGAGTCTGCCAAAATGGGTCTGGCAGTAAACGACGAGAAGATCAAGCTGATGGTATCAACGCTCAAAACGTCCAGTAGACTCGGACCAACTGTGTAACTTGAGAACTACAGCTTCGAGGTAGTCAAAGATTTTGTATACCTTGGTACCGCCATAAATAAAACGAATGACATCAGTTTTAAAATTCGGAGAAGGATAGTTCGGTTCTACTATGGTCTGAGCAAACAACACAAAAGCAAAGGCCACCTCCCGCCAGATCAAACTCACACACTACAAGACGCTGATACTACCACCCGTGCTATTATATGGATCTAAAGCATGGGTACTTGTGCAAGCAGATGAGGCAGCTCTTGGAGTGTTTGAGGGGAAAATTCCGCGAAAGATCTATGGGTCGATTTGCGTTGACGGTGAATATCGCCGTCGAATGAACCATGAGTTGTGCCAGCTATTCTCGGACATCGACATTATTAGACGTATTGAGCTGCACCGACTACGTTGGCTAGGTCATGTTGTGAGAATGGATGAAGATGCCCCAGCCCAGAAGGCATATAAAAGCGAACCAGCTGATGGCTCACGCAGAAGGGGAGGGCCACGAATACGATGGAAAGATCAAGTCGAAGACAATATTGCCGAAAATGGTCTTTCAAATAGGAAAAACTGCACAAAAGACCGACGCGCCTGGAAATATTTTTTAGGCTCGGCTTCTGTCACAAGCCAACTAAGTAAGTATACCTTTATAATAAAACCTGTATAAAATACTGTGGACTTCCACAAACCATAGGCTGAAAGTATATAACTGTCCGAAATCGACTGAAAATGTTTTTATTTGTTTTTTAAAATAATTTGAAAAAAAAGCAAATTGAATTATCATTTTTATTAACATTCATTACCCTTTCTACAGTAAAAAAAAAGACCTGCAAATAAAACACAACGAATTTTTTTAAGTTTCAACAATGTGTTTTTTGTTTTATTTATTTTGTATTTCTTTTCAAAATGTATTTTCGTCCAATGTTTAATGTTATTATTATTAAATTATAATATTTATTTGTTGTTTTTTAATTACATATTTGCTTGTTTATGAGTTAACTTTAGGAAACTACAATTTGTTTTTGTTTTATTATATTTTAGCTTTAAGTTAAATATCACTTAATAATTATTATTAATAATAATAAGAGTAATTATTATTATAAGATGTAGTAATAGTTTTTGTTGTTTTTAATATATATGTATGTATATGCATTTTATGTTTTATTTATGTGGTATGAAAGAAGTTGTTTCTTTTATTTCCAGAGTGTCTTGTATTGAAGCCTTTAGTTAATTAATTAATAAATTTGGAGAAAAAGAAAGGAAGAAAAAATATATATTCTGTGGTGTTTTGTTTTCTAAAGCATTTGATTTTTATTCTCTTTTTCCTTATAATTGAGTTTGTTCTTCTTTATGTTCTGTTTTATAAGATGTTGTTTTAGTTATTTTTATTTATTTATTTTTTTTGGAAAAAATATATTTGAAATAAACAATATTTTAACATATTTGGCTTTAATTTAATTGTAATAATAATCAATAATCATGTATTTTTGTTTTGTTTTTATTATAATAATTTATTAATTAATTTTTAACCTCTTAACATAAAATAATAATATTTTTTTATTTTTTAGAAAATAATAAAATAATTCACAATAATAATTTTGTTTGTTGTAAGTTTTTTTAAATATATTAAAAATTGAATCATTTAACCAATCATTATCATTTTAAATATAATTTTTCAATTTTAATTTTTTTTTAATTCTATAAAAAGTAATTTCTAATTAGAGAAAAAAACATATTTTACATGATCTGATCTTTAAATTATTTTTATTATTATTATTTTTGGTAATATTAAAATTATTTGTTGTTATGGTGGTGGTGTTGCTGTTTTTGTTAAAAATAAAAACTCAAAAGGCTAATCGACTTGCTAAGTCATATAGAAAAATAAAACTCCTAACCCCCCTACGGAAATCTGCCCAGCCCATAATATTAGGTGTCAGAAGTATAAAGTGTGGTGTTATAAAAACCAATATTTGGAGAACTTTTTTATCCATTGTGATCTCTTTATCAATACTAGCTATAAAATGACCCCTCTATAGAATATGAGTAGCCTAAATAATAGGTTCCCCTTCTATCTACAGCTCTTCTATATACAGAATAATATGTTCACCTTTCTATATATCAAAGAAGTTTATAATCTGAAAATTCTTTTATCTTCCAAAAAGGCTACCCTTCTATTTACCAAAGAAGCTGCTCTTCTATCAACGGAAGAAATTCTATCTATCGAAAAGGATACCAAAGAGGCTCCTATTCTATGCACAGAAGCATTAAACTTCCATCTATAGAGGCAACTACTTATCGGTATATGGAAGAGGGGACTCCTCGACCCCTCGTCCATAGAAGAAGCTGATCATCGATTTATAGAAGGTATTCCTCTTTGATATATAGAAAAGGCTCTTGGAAGGGACCCCTCTTTGATCTATAGAAGAGGCTGAACCTCGATTTATAGAAGATATTCCTCTTTGATATGTAGGAGAGGCTCTTCTTCGATTCGTTGAAGAGGCTGGTCTATGATTTATATAAGAGGCTCATCTTTGATCTTTAGAAAAGGCTCATAAGCGATCTATAGAAGAGGAACCCTCCGATCTATAGAAGAGGCTTCTTTTTTTAGAAGAGACTCCTAATTAATTTACAGAAAACCTTCTTCTCGATCTACGGAATTTTCATTTTCAATCTATACAAGAGCTCCTCATAGATCTATAGAAGAGTTCCTTCCAGGTGGATCTAAAAATACCACTTCTATCTATAGAAGTGCCCCATTCGATCCATAAAAGAGTCCCTCTTCGATCTATAGAAGAATTCCTTTTGGATCCCTTCTACGGATAGAAGAGGAACTCTTCTATGATCTTTAGAAAAGACTCATATTCGATCTGAACAAGGGTTCACCTTTCAACCTATAGAAGAGGCTCCTTTTTCGACTTAAGAAGATACTCTTTTTTGATCTATAATTTACCGAAAACCTTCTCCTCGATCTACGGAATTTTCATTTTCAATCTATACAAGAGCTCCTCATAGATCTATAGAAGAGTTCCTCCCAGAAGAGTTCCTCCGAAAAATACCACTTCTATCTATAGATGTGTCCCTTCGATCTATGAAAGAGTTCCTCTTCGATCTATAGATGAGCTTTACAACGATCCAGCTTCACTACAAATCATTACAAATCAGCTCCTCATTGATTCAGATACAAGCTTCACTACTATCCATAAGAAAACCTCTTCGATCTAAAGAAAACGACATCTTCTATCTGTGGAGTTACTGTTTGGTCTATAATAGACCACCACTTTGATATATAGAAAACCTTCACTTCGTCCTTTAAAAGAGCTCCCCTTCGATTCATAACAGAGCTCAATCTAGGAGAGAGAGCTCTTCTTCGATGTATAAAAAATCTAATCTGCGATCTATAAAATAGCGTTTCTTTTTTCTATCGAAAAGGATCAATTTCTGTTTATAAAATAGACTCATCTACTGCCTATCTATCCGGGTGTTTCTTCTCAACTTCTTGACCAAAAATTCACTCATTTTAATACGAATTTAAAATACACTTTCAGGTTATCTTTTCCTTGGCAAATTTCATAGAAATTTTACCATTCAAAATCCGCTCAAAATACAATCAAGACATCTCTTAAACTTCAAATCTTTTTCCAAACTTTGAGGCCGGGCCGTAGGGGGTATTCCAACATTTACAAGACCTATTAAAAAATCATTTAATAGTGGTGGTTTGTTTTCTTTCTTTCTTTTTTGTTTAATAAAAATAAATTACATGTTGTTGTTGGTTTTACAAAAAGGCTATATATCCTTCATCTATTTTTTGTTGTTGTGGTTTGTTGGTTTTTTTGTTTTAATTGTAAATAATAAATTCCTTTGCACTATAGTTATAGAAAGTTTTAAAATTAAAAAAAAACAATAATCACATAACGAACGATGCATTAACGTAACGATGATTTTTTGTATTTTGCTGTTTGTTGTTGTTGTTTGTTTTGGTTTACTCACTAACCAGACCCATTTCACGGGCGGCTGTGGTTTGTGTTAACGAGGCAGCTGAGGTTAAGTCGGCTGCATCATCTGTTGCTGTATCACAATTACCGCTTATCACATCCTTAGCATCTTCATCGTCGTCCTCTTCCTCCTCCTCAGCTCCACCACCATTTGTTTGTTTCACCTCATCTTCTTCAGCCTCATCGGCAAATGATATTTCCGCCTGATTGGCATAATTTGAAGATTTTACGGCCTGCTCAACAACAATATGCTCCGCAGTCGATTGACTACTATCCACATCATCCGCCGCTGTACGACTTGTGGCCGTCTCTTCTTCGGGAATATCTTCAATTATACTACGGCTACCAACCGATCCCACAGAGGGTGATTTTTGATCTGATTCATCATCGGTTGTGGTATCTTTACGTTGCAGCAGGGGATCGGTGGCACGCAGGGAATTATCTGAACCGCCAACACCTTCACCGCTGGGCCGTAATACCAAATACAACAAAATATCTGATAATGATATAATACCAATAACTTTACGATTTTCATCGACGACCACAAGACGATGCACCTCAGCCCGAACGATACGTTCCAAAATGGTGTAGAGAGTTTCATCTAGATTACAACACTGAACGCCCTCAAACCATTCGTTGCGATGTTCGTTAGCTTTGCGGAGAGATACATCGAGATCATTATAGGTTTTCTCTGCAGCCAGATTCTGGAAAGAAGAGGGAGGAAATGTTAGAGGAGGATATAAAAAATGGGGAAATAATGAATTTGAGATGAGAAGGCAGAAGAAGATCCTTTAAGAAAGAAGAGAAGACAGAGCTCTAGGATAGGATAGGAAAGGATGAAATCTTCTATGCAATAGAAGAGAATGAGCTCTCATACAGGATAAAGAAGGAGCTCTTCTATAGTTTAGAAGAGGAACTCTTTTATGTGTAGAAACGGAACTCTTCTATGGATAGAAGAGGATCTGTTCTATGAACAAAGGAACTCTTCTAAGGATAGAAGAGGAAGTCTTCTATGGATAGAAGAGGAACTCTTCTATGGATTGAAGAGGAAGTCTTCTATGGATAGAAGAGGAACTCTTCTATGGATAGAAGAGGAACTCTTCTATGGATAGAAGAGGAACTCTTCTATGGATAGAAGAGGAACTCTTCTATGGATAGAAGAGGAACTCTTCTATGGATAGAAGAGGAACTCTTCTATGGATAGAAGAGGAACTCTTCTATGGATAGAAGAGGAGCTCTTCTATGGATAGAAGAGGAACTCTTCTATGGATAGAAGAGGAACACTTCTAAGGATTGAAGAGGAAGTCTTCTATGGATAGAAGAGGAACTCTTCTATGGATAGAAGAGGAACTCTTCTATGGATAGAAGAGGAACTCTTCTATGGGTAGAAGAGGAACTCTTCTATGGGTAGAAGAGGAACTCTTCTATGGATAAAAGAGGAACTCTTCTATGGATAGAAGAGGACATCTTCTATGGATAGAAGATTAACTCTTCTATGGATATAAGAGGAACTCTTCTATGGATAGAAGAGGAACTCTTCTATGGATAGAAGAGGATCTCTTCTATGGATAGAAGAGGAACTCTTCTATGGATAGAAGAGGAACTCTTCTATGAAATAGAAGACGCGCTCTTCTATGCAATAGAAAAGATAGACGAGAGGAACTCTTCTATGGATAGAAGAGGAACTCTTCTATGAAATAGAAGACGCGCTCTTCTATGGAGGATAGAAGAGGAACTTTTCTATGAATAGAAGAGGAGCTCTTCTATAAATAATAGAGGGACTTTTCTATGGATAGAAGAGTTCCTCTTCTATGGATAGAAGAGGAACTCTTCTATGGATAGAAGAGGAACTCTTCTATGGATAGAAGAGGAACTCTTCTATCGATAGAAGAGGAACTCTTCTATGGATAGAAGAGGAACTCTTCTATGGATAGAAATGTGCCCTATTCTATAAATATAAGAGTTGCCCATTCTAAAAATGGAAATGCACCTCTTCAATAAATAGAAAAGCTTTTCTCCGTTTCTCTTCTATCGGTTGGACCTATTTCTCCCCACTCTATCTGATACTAATCCTAGGAAGTCATCTTATACTTACAATAACATCAAATTTCGCATAAATATCAACTAGACGGCCTTCAGCATCAACTAAAGGTAAGGCGGAAACTCTTCGTTCGACGAATTTCTTTAAAGCTGTTAATATGCTGGTATTTTCATCGGCTGTTTCGATATTATCGTATGTGCCAATTTTTAAATCACGTAATTTCTTTTGCATATAAGAAGGCTTGGGTAATTCATTAATCTGAAACAAAAAAATCAAATTTAATATTGGGTCGGAATAATATTTAAAACACAACACCACCAACTTACATATAAAAAGAGGAACCTTAAGATACGTTTATGTGTCAAAATATAGAGAACATTGCCCGTCGCTGGATCAATGACAGGTAATCGATGTATACGATTGTGTATGAGTATCTTAATGGCATCATACAGTGAGGCATCGGGACCAATGCTAACCAGTGGCATGACTTCTTTGTGTAGAACGCCTGGTAAAGGAGAAGAACGAAAATTATTACTTATTAAAATATTTTTTATTTTTATGAGACTACTCACTTCTCCATGTATCCAATTTGTGCTCCTCCAATTGTTCCATTGAGGCATTCGGTGATTTGTAATACATTCTCAAGATTTTGATGAAATCCGTAATGGTCAGCATACCAACGAATTGTTGTTTCTGTGAATCCCAGAGGGGTGCGGCGCGCACACCATTATAGACTAAAGCATAGAAGGCTTTCTTGACCAGCAGCTGTGTATCGAATACTACCAATTTAGCGGATGTTGGTATTAGATCGTAACATTTGTGAAAACGGAAAAATTTTACAAAAATTTGGGAATCATCTTCTTCTGCAATGAAAAAAAAGTTGTAAAAATTAGAAGGTTTTGGTAATAGAAATATATATATATATATATATATATAGGACTTCTCAAAAAATAAAAAAAAAATTGCAAAAATCAGTTAATTTTTTTTATAAAAAACAAATTTCAGCAAAGTTTTATATAAAAAATTCATTTTCTTCCAATTATATTAAATTCAGCAATGTTTTTTATAAAAAAACTTCAATTCAGCAAACTTTTCTATAGAAATATTTCAATTCAGCAAATATTTAAAAAAAATATCAATTCAGAAAAAAATTCTAAAGAAAAAATCAATTCAGCAAAGTGTTTCGATGGAATATTTCAATCCAGCAGAGTTTTTTAAAGAGACAATTTGCCAAATTTTCTATACAAAAAAGCAAATTCAGCAAGTTTATTTATAGAAAATACCAATTTAGCAAACTTTTTTCAATTGAAAACACTATGTCAAGAATGTTTTTCTTTTCAAAACCCTAATTCAGCTATTTTTTCTATAGAAAAACAAAAATCAATAAAACTTTTTCTATCAAAATTGCTATTCAGCTAATTTTAACTATAGTAAAAGTGAATTCTATAATTTTTTCTTTATAAATATGCAATTCAGCAACCTTTTATTGGGAAAAGTTTATTTAGAAAATATTTTCTATGGAAAAAATCAATTTAGCCCAAATATTTCTAAAAAACAAAAGTTAATATTTTTCTACATTCAAGGTCAATTCAGCGGAGTTATTCAATGAAAAATATCAATTCAGCTATTTTTCCATAGAAAATAAAAATTCCGCTATTTTTTCTATAGATAAACCCAATTCAGCAAATATTTTCTATCGAAAATGCAATTCAGCTAATTTTAAAGTAGATAGTTTTACAAACTTGTCTTTATAACTATGCAATTCAGCAAATTCTTTCATTAGAAAACACCCATTCAGTAAAATTTTTCTTTGAAAAAATTAATTCAGCAATTTTTTTTTTTTGAGATAAAACAATTCAGCTAACTTTGTTTATATAGAAAAGATCAGTTATCATTTTTCTATAGTTTTTTTTTTTTAAAAAAAATAAATTCAGCTAACTTTTTTCATATAGGAAAAATTAAAATTTAAATTTTTTTTCCATAAAAGTCAATTCAGCTAACTTTTTGAATAGAAAATACCAATTGAGCAAAGTTTTTTTTTTGCAGAAATTTTTAATTCAGCTGAATCTTTCTATCTTTATCAGAAAACACAACATTTTGCTACGATATAAAAAAAGTCAATACAGTTAACATTTTCATAGTAAAATCGAATTCAGCCAACTTTTCAGCAATTACTTCTTATAGAAAGTGATGATTCAGCAATTTTTTGTTAAAAAAGTCAATTCAGCAATAACTTCCAATAGACTAAGTAAATTTAGGCATCTTTTGCCGTAGTTAAACAGTTAACATTTTCATAGTAAAATCGAATTCAGCCAACTTTTCCACAATTTCTTCTTAAAGAAAGTAATGATTCTGCAATTTTTTGTTAACAAAGTCGATTCAGCAATAACTTCCAATAGACTAAGTAAATTTAGGCATCTTTTGCCGTAGTTAAATTCAATTCAGAAGACCTGTTCGGCAGTAAAAGTCAATTCAGCTAACTCGTTTTATAGATAATATTAATTCAGCTAACTTTTTCTTATGAAAATTGTATAAAAAATTATTTCTGCAAACTTTCCCTTAGAAAAACTAAAGTTTGCAATTTTTTTCCTTAGAAAATGTCAAATCAGCTAACCTTCTTTTAATGTTAATTCAGAAAGCATTTTCCTTAAAAAAAAGTTTATTCAGCAAACAAATTCCATAGACAAATTTAATTCAGCAAACTTTTCCCTAACAAAATAAATTCAGCTTATATTTTCTACAGAAAACTTAAATTTTACAAACGTTTCCACAGTCAACATTAATTAAGCTAAGTTTTTCTATAAAAAAACATCAATTCAGCAAAGTTATTTTAAAGATAATTCATTTTGGCTAGGTTTTTCTACATAAAAAGTCAGTTCAAAAATATTTTTCTGTGGCAAAAAATAAATTCAGCTAAATTTTCTAATTAGAAAGTCAATTCAGCCAATTTCTATAGAAAAAGTCAATTCAGTAAGGTTCTTCTAGAGAAAACGTTAATTCATCTAATTTTTTCAATAACAATTTTAATTCAGCTTAATTTTTTATAACAAAAACGTTATTCAGAAAAAATTTCTATAGAAAAAAATCAATTACGCTAGACATTTTCTATAGAAAAGGTCAATTCAGCAAGGTTTATCTATAGAAAACGTCAATTCAGCTAAAATTTTCAATAAACATTTTAATTCAGCTACATTTTGTATAACAAAAACTTTATCCAGAAAACTTTAGGTTTTTCTAAGAAAAATCAATTCAGCAAATGTGTTCCTGTAAATTCAGCTAAATGATCAAATGGGAAAGTAAATTCAGCTAATATTTTTATTTGAAAAAATTAATTCAGCAAATAATTTCTATAGAAAAAGTAAATTCAGCAAGCTATTTCTATAGAAAACGTCAATTCAGCTAAATTTTTCTATAAAAATGTCAATTCAGCTAAATTTTTATAACAAAAACATTATTCATGAAATGTTTCTATAGAAAAAAATTAATTACGCTAGGTTTTTCTATACAAAAATCAATTCAGCAAAGGCGTTTTTATAGAAAAAATCAATTCAGCAACTGTTTTTCTATAGAAAAACATCGATTCAGCTAAGTTTTTCCAAAGAAAAAGTCAACTCTGCAACCTTTTTTCATAGAAGAACCAATTCAGCTGTTTTATGTAGAAAAACTCGATTCAGCAAACTTTTTATTTAGAATTTTTTTGTCATCTTCAGCCCTTCATAAATTTTCAAAATATAAAATGCCCCCATTTTTGTTTTCGAAACTTACTATTTTGAACACTTTTCTTTAGAATATCGGCCAGACAGCGTTTCCATGCCTCCGAGACATGTTCGAACTCTTTAATACTCTCTAACGGATAAATGTCACACCAACTATCTTTTCCGGCCTTGGTCGTACCGGCTCCGAGTACCAAACGACCGGCATGATTGGAATAGAAATGAAGTTGTAACATGCGGACGCGGCGACAACGGAAGTTGCAAGGACGGCGTTAATGAGGGAGTTAATTTGTGTTGTTGTTGTGATCGTTGTTGTTGGTGATGCTGTATAGCAGCAGTCACAGCAGCTTGAGCGGAAATCACCTTTTGACGAAGGCAAATTTTTAACTGAGAACTGGCAAATTGTGTTTGTTGTGCAAAGACACGAGAAAAATGCAAAAACAACAACAACGACGGCGATTCGAACAGCAGCATTACCAACGACGTTGTTGTCACAGTCTTGTTGTAGTAGTAGTTGTTGTTGTTGTGGAAAACGAAATAAATTTTAATAAAACCGAACAAAACAAAAACGACAATTGTTTACGGGGCGCTAATGATGTTGGCGGCGGCGACGACGACAGCGACAACGATCAGCAGCATCAGCGACAATGACAACGGCGGCAACACGTCGGCGGTGGTGTCTGTGAACATAACACTGCAATTAAGATTTGTTGTTGTTGTTATTGCTGTTGTTGTTGGTCGAGATTTAGCGAAAATTGTTTTTTTATTTTCAATTTTTCGCGTTTGAATAGATTTTTCAATTTGTTTGTTATTTCTTCTAAGGCAATCAGTCAGACAGACAGACAGACCTACCCACACATGTAGAGAGACAATGGATGTTTGTAGTAGTTGTTGTTGTTATTATTGTTTTTGTGGTTTCCTTGCTTTGTTTGTGCATATCTAGGTAGTGGTGTTATTATTTTAGTTTAAAACAAATCTAATTTTTCTTTTTTTTCTATCTCTTATATTTATTATTAAGAAGACTGATTACATTTGGCCACACTGGCGCTGCTACACTGGGATTCGAATCAATTACGCCACATGAACCTTTGCAAGCGTAGGCATGCATGCATACAGGCAGGCACTAGGGCAATAAATTTCTTGCTAATGAGACAATGAAGGCAGAATAAGAAGCAGCAGAGAGAAAACCAATGGCGTATATTTTCAAAAGAAATTGATTTCGATCAAACGATGTTAATTCAGCTAAGTTTTCTTAGAAAAAAATCAATTCAGCAAATTGTTTTCAATAGAAACCGAAGATTCAGCGAAATTTTCTGATGGAAAAATTAGTTAGCTTCAATTCATCTAACTTTTTTCAGTCGTCTTTTTATGTAGAAATTCAGCATTAATTCAGCTAAATTTTCAAATCGAAAAAGTCAATTTTGGTAGCCTTTTCTAAGAAAAAAGTCAATTCAGCTAACTTTTTTCTAATGAAAACATCAATTTTTATGAGCAAAACAACAATTCAGCTATTTTTTGGTATAGAAAATATAAATTTCAGAAATCTAATTTTTTCGATGAATAAAGCAATTTCAGCCCACATTTTCTACTGAAATAGTAAATTCAGCTAACTATTTCAGCAGAAAAATCAATTCAGCTAACTTTAATAACGATATTGTCGACCTTTTTAAATAGAAATTGTCAATACAGCTAATTTTTTGTATCGATAAAGTCAACTCAGCAAAGTTTTTATGTTGAGAAAATTAATTCAGCTAACTTTATTAACGATATTGTCGACCGCTTGAAATAGAAATTGTCAATTCAGCTAATTTTTTCTATCGATAAAGTCAACTCAGCAAAGTTTTTATGGTTGAGAAAATTAATTCAGCTAACTTTTGTACAGGAAATGTTAATTCAGCTAATACTTTCTGATGAAAGGTGAATTCAGCTATATATTTCAATAGAAAAGTCAATTTATATAAATTTAACTTTTTAAACGGAAATAGTCAATTCAGCAAAATGTTATTCAGCTAGCTTTACAAATATAACGAACCAATTCAGCTAATTTTTTCTTTGGAAAAATTTAAATTCAGCTAAATTTTAATATCTATAAAATCAATTCAGTAAATTTTTTTGTAAAAAAATTTTAAATTATCTAATTATTTGTAGAG